ATAAAGACAGAGAGCTACTGTCCCGGGATGATAAAGACAGAGAGCTATTGTCCCAGGATGATAAAGGCAGAGAGCTACTGTCCCGGGATGATAAAGACAGAGAGCTACTCTCCCGGGATGATAAAGACAGAGATCTACTGTCCTGGGATGATAAAGACAGAGAGCTACTGTCCCGGGATGATAAAGACAGAGAGCTACTGTCCTGGGATGATAAAGACAGAGAGCTACTGTCCCGGGATGATAAAGACAGAGAGCTACTGTCCCAGGATGATAAAGGCAGAGATCTACTGTCCTGGGATGATAAAGGCAGAGAGCTACTGTCCTGGGATGATAAAGACAGAGAGCTACTGTCCCGGGATGATAAAGACAGAGAGCTACTGTCCCGGGATGATAAAGACAGAGAGCTATTGTCCCTGGATGATAAAGGCAGAGAGCTACTGTCCCGGGACGATAAAGACAGAGAGCTAATGTCCCGGGATGATAAAGACAGAGAGCTACTGTCTTGGGATGATAAAGGCAGAGAGCTACTCTCCCGGGATGATAAAGACAGAGAGCTACTGTCCCAGGATGATAAAGGCAGAGAGCTACTGTCTTGGGATGATAAAGGCAGAGAGCTACTGTCCCGGGATGATAAAGGCAGAGAGCTACTGTCCCGGGATGATAAAGGCAGACAGCTACTGTCCTGGGATTATAAAGGCAGAGAGCTACTGTCCCGGGATGATAAAGACAGAGAGCTACTGTTACCAGGATGATAAAGGCAGAGAGCTACTGTCCTGGGATGATAAAGGCAGACAGCTACTGTCCTGGGATGATAAAGGCAGAGAGCTACTCTCCCGGGATGATAAAGACAGAGAGCTACTGTCCCAGGATGATAAAGGCAGAGAGCTACTGTCTTGGGATGATAAAGGCAGAGAGCTACTGTCCCGGGATGATAAAGGCAGAGAGCTACTGTCCTGGGATGATAAAGACAGAGAGCTACTGTCCCGGGATGATAAAGGCAGAGAGCTACTGTCCCGGGATGATAAAGGTAGAGAGCTACTGTCCCGGGATGATAAAGACAGAGAGCTACTGTCCCGGGATAATAAAGACAGAGAGCTGCTGTCCCGGGATGATAAAGGCAGAGAGTTTCTGTCCCGGGATGATAAAGGCAGAGAGCTACTGTCCTGGGATGATAAAGACAGAGAGCTACTGTCCCGGGATGATAAAGGCAGAGAGCTACTGTCCTGGGATGATAAAGACAGAGAGCTACTGTCCCGGGATGATAAAGACAGAGAGCTACTGTCCCAGGATGATAAAGACAGAGAGCTACTGTCCCGGGATGATAAAGACAGAGAGCTACTGTTACCAGGATGATAAAGACAGAGAGCTACTGTCCCAGGATGATAAAGGCAGAGAGCTACTCCCTTCAGTGGCCCTGGCAAACATATCGGGGACATAATGGTGGTGGTACAGTCATTATTCTTCAGAACATATTCGTGACAGAGTTCATGCATTTACAAAAACAAACGATAATGAAGAATAAAATCTGAAATATTAAGTATATTATTTGACATTTCCAAATCACTTGAGGAGCTACCTGAGAGGGGGCGGCGAGCTACAGGTTGGAGACCCCTGTTTTAGAGGAAATATACCTATTCAAGGCCTGGCTCTTTACGGGATTGAACCTACAACCTTCTTCTTGGATGCGATCCTTTTGTGAACTGTTTGTTAAACGAAGCACATTGTAACTTTATATCTGTAGTTTCATGAATGTACTGCTGCCTGTCCCAGAGAGAGAGACAGGATCTGATCACATGATGTGTTTTCGTTACATAATCCAGCTCTAGCTCTTACTTCAGAGCGAGCCGTGCTGTCAGCGGGACGTCCTTCCACTTCAGGCTGTTGCAGCGGGCAGGCCATGACACGAGTCAAGCACCAGAGCTGGCAGCTATTTACACCTACACACTGCAGCTGCATGGACGTGTCTGACAGGCTTCCTCTTCCTCCTCCTCCTCTCCTCCTCCTCCTCCTCCTCCTCCTCCTCCTCCTCTGGTTCCTGGAGCACACACTTACACTATCTCTCATCACGCTCAGTACGCTTCATTATGTCCATCAGAGCTGAGTTTGTGACCAGCTCGTCACTCACGGCTGTCACAGGCTCCGCTCGGCGTCGCCAGATTCCAGCGAGGGCCTGTGTCACACTGCTTTTATTTTAGGTGAGCCGAGCAAACACCTGACTGACATCTTCACACCAGACAAAACACACAGAAGCCATTTCTACGTGTTGTGTGGAGCTTATTTATACAGCCGCTGGAATAGCAGTCCTTCCTGTGGAGACATGTGCTGGGATTGATGTTTCAGGGCAAATCTGATCTCATTCTCACTAATTTCTCCAACTGACATGAAGTCACAGAGCTGTAAGTCTTGAGAAAGTGAATATATTGTGGTGGGAATGGAATGGAAAGTTGAATTATATCCATGGACGACAGCGAAGCAATAACGCACTGAAGCTACAGCCACAGCCGACAAAGTGAATGTTCTGCTAAATCTACTGACATTAGGATGAAACATGGTTGTCTTTGGTGCAGGTCATAGACTGCGAGTGGTCCCACCCACAAGTAAATTGTGAAAAAACGCATCTGTGCATGCGTCAGGCGTCATTTAAACGAGAGACTTCTAAAGTCCACAGCGACTAAACTAGACTGGTCCAGAACACTCAGCATTGACACACATGTGGAACGGAGCTTTGGGCCAAGAGACAACTTTTGGTCCATCCTGTAAAGACGTTTTCCAGAGGTAAGAAGATGCTATATGTTAGCATTGGCTAATTCTTATTCCGGGCCCACCCCCACAGGCCCGGGGTGGTATTGCAGCATGTCAGCGCACGTCATTTTGGCCACTTTTGAGCCGGGACCCGCCCACACTGGTGCAGATACTCAATGCCAAAGAGATGTGTGAGATGAGCTGAAATCTCATTCCCCTCGTGCTCTGACACTGGTGGTCGGTGGACATGACGGAGGAGGAGATGAGGGGTGTCTAAACTACTGTACAGTCTCTGATCTGGTTTGTGTTCGATGTCAGGATAGACTGAAGGATGAGGCGTAAATGTCCATACTCCATACACAGCGGTGATAAACTATAGCTACCCCGGGGCAGACTGGCAGAAGCGAGGCAACCAGTATGTGCCAGCGGCCCCTCTAACCACCGGTAAGCATACACACACATACAAACACACACACACACATACAAACACACGCACACACACACTCACACACATACACACACACACACACTCACACCCGCACACTCACACTCACACACACACACACTCACTCAAATAAAACCAGGATTTCTATCTTTGTGAAAAAGGTGTTGGTTATAGATTTATTGTTGACAAAACTCTTGTCTATTCAGCTGTTATGGTCCCAGCTGGATTCGTCTGCATATCTGGCAACCTGAGTCAGGGAGAGTGGGAGAGGCTGCAGTACCACCTTTGGCCACATGTTTACACACTGCTCCTTTAATAAATGCATAGCAGAAAACAAAACAAAAAAAACAACAGAAAATAAAACTTATTTCAGCTGAAACACATGTCACGGTAAAAGACGTTAGGTCCTCAGCCCCACTTTCCCAGAGCGCCCTCTGCTGGTTGTGGCTCCACAGGATTGTATTAACTGCATTATAAATATAGCTTCAAATGCGCAATTTCAATTTGACCTTTTTCCAATGTTTACTGCTCAAAACCGACTTCCACGACAGAGAAACAGAGGCGGAGATGGTAAACATTTAGGAGAATAACAAATAGTTAAAAATGAGAAACTGGGAGATTTCAGACGTTTTTCTCGGTTTCATTGAACACATTATGAAGATTAAACCTATTGAATTATTGAAGCACATTTGTCTCTATTTTCCAAGTTCTCCAGTTTGAGCCAATCGTTTCCACAGCGTTCCCTGCGGATCACAAGCAGATTTCTGTTCCTTCCTGAGACGCTTTTCTTCATGTTTTATTAATGCCATGTGCTGTGGAGCTGCTCCTAACTGACTTGGCGATTCAACCCTTTCCGTGTCACAAATCAGATTAGCCCGGGCTGTGATTAATCATGTGGTGGAGCAGCCAGTGAGAGGCGCTGACACCTCTTTAATTTCCTTAATTACATCTGGAATTAGGCCGGAATCGTCCCGTCACATTATGCAGCTGTTGACTCCCAACTCACTCAAGCACGATACACAAATTATTATTCGTTTAAGGAGTTATGTTTTCTCACTTTAGCCGTTTAGAATCAATGGATTTACGTTGGAGACAGTCGAGGAGAGACCCAGAGAAAATATGGTTACAGGACAGTCCCAAAGTGGTTCTGGGTCCAAAAGTGGTTCTTGGTCCAAAAGTGGTGGTGGCTCTTGGTCCAAAAGTGGATCTTGGTCCAAAAGTGGATCTTGGTCCAAAAGTGGTTCTTGGTCCAAAAGTGGTTCTTGGTCCTCTTGGTTCCAGATGCTGTCGATGTTGAGGGGAGTGTATGTTTTTGGACCAGTCTAGTTTAGTGGCTGTGGAATTTTAATAATGACAATAATAATAATAATAATAATAATAATGTTTCTTCACATTTTCCCAGCGGCCATTTTGAAACTGCCCATAGAAGGAAAATATCTGTAAAACTCATCCTCCCTCAAAGAAAACTAATTCAAAGAAGATTCTAGTGGAATTGGCGCCTTTCCAGTTTGTCATACACACATACGCACGCACGCACACACACACACACACACACACACACACACACACACACACACACACACACACACACACACAGACACACACACAGAGACACACAGACACATACGCACGCACACACACACACACACACACACACACACACACACACACATACACACACACACACACACACACACACACACACACACACATACACACACACACACACACACACACACACACACACACACACACACACACACACACACACACACACACACACACACACACACACACACACACATGTTAATCCTCACTGTCTGAAGTGTGCTTTTGGGAAGTGGAATGTTGTGATTGAATGATCAGAGCCTATGCATTTGTGGAGGAGGTGAAAGGAAAACAGAGGCGGAGGAGGCGGAGGAGGTGGAGGAGGCGGAGGAGGTGGAGGAGGTGGAGGAGGTGGAGGAGGTGGAGGAGGGGAGGAGGCGGAGGAGGCGGAGGAGGTGGAGGAGGTGGAGGAGGCGGAGGAGGCGGAGGAGGTGGAGGAGGTGGAGGAGGCGGAGGAGCGGAGGAGGGGAGGAGGTGGAGGAGGTGGAGGAGGTGGAGGAGGTGGAGGAGGAGGGGAGGAGGGGAGGAGGGCGAGGAGGGGAGGAGGTGGAGGAGGCGGAGGAGGCGGGAGGAGGAGGGAGGAGGTGGAGGAGGGGAGGAGGCGGAGGAGGGAGGAGGTGGAGGAGGGGAGGAGGGGGAGGCGGAGGGTGGAGGAGGTGGAGGAGGCGGAGGAGGCGGAGGAGGATGGAGGAGGTGGAGGAGGTGGAGGAGGTGGAGGAGGAGGGGAGGAGGCGGAGGAGGTGGAGGAGGTGGAGGAGGGGGGAGGAGGAGGCGGAGGAGCGGAGGAGGTGGAGGAGGTGGAGGAGGCGGAGGAGGCGGAGGAGGTGGAGGAGGTGGAGGAGACGGAGGGGGCGCAGGAGGCTTTTACACCGCCATTCATGAGACTTTCAATAATCCACTGAAGGCAATGCACAGATTTGGGAACAGTACTTTTCATAATCAACTTTCCAATCCTTCTTTAACTGAGAACAGTCGTTCAGAGATAATTGAATTTCTAAATTACTTTTCCAGCCTCTAAATCCTGTTATTGTTTTCATTTCGATGTCCCGCCCTCCACCGTTTCACCAATCAGAAAGTCTGTGATCCGGGCGCCAGAACTCACCGCGTGGAGCTAATCTCACTGGTAAAGTACCATGTGGGGCTAATCTCACTGGTAAAGTACCATGTGGCGCAGAACTAAAAAAGGTCTCGTTATGATTCTCAAATCATTAACGACAAAACAAGGAATAAAACCAGGATTTCTATCTTTGTGAAAAAGGTGTTGGTTATAGATTTGTTGTTGACAAAACTCTTGTCTATTCAGCTGTTATGGTCCCAGCTGGATTCGTCTGCATATCTGGCAACCTGAATATTGACCGTGAAGAACCAAAACTAGTTTTTCTTCAGTAAAGCGCCGTCCCCGTTTATAGTGAGTTTATAGATAGCCTTCGAACCCGTCTGAAGGTGTCCATCCTTCTGACACGTCCTGAAAGCTGAGGCTGCAGTATCTTCATCGTGGATCAATGGCCATCGCCGGGAGACACAGACACTATTCTATTTGGGATGATCGCTCCAGGGAAAAGGAGGAGCTGTAAGTAATACAGAATGTCCTGGTCAGTCATTCTGGGAATAACACAAATTGATTTCTGCACCATGCTCATGTGAACATTTCAATCCTCCTGCAGAGAGACAGACTGTGCACGCCTCTGGCCCCGAGCTGCTGGAGCTGCCGGAGCTGGAACTGGAGCCGGAGCTGGAGCTGCTGGAGCTGGAGCTGGAGCTGGAACTGGAGCCGGAGCTGGAGCTGCTGGAGCTGGAACTGGAGCCGGAGCTGGAGCTGCTGGAGCTGGAGCTGGAACTGGAGCCGGAGCTGGAGCTGCTGGAGCTGGAACTGGAGCCGGAGCTGGAGCTGCTGGAGCTGGAGCTGGAGCTGGAGCTGGAGCTGCTGGAGCTGCCGGAGCTGGAGCTGCTGGAGCTGGAGCTGCTGGAGCTGGAGCTGCTGGAGCTGCCGGAGCTGGAGCTGCTGGAGCTGGAGCTGCTGGAGCTGCCGGAGCTGGAGCTGCTGGAGCTGCCGGAGCGGGAGCTGCTGGAGCTGGAGCTGCTGGAGCTGCCGGAGCTGGAGCTGCTGGAGCTGCCGGAGCTGGAGCTGCTGGAGCTGGAGCTGCTGGAGCTGGAGCTGCTGGAGCTGCCGGAGCTGGAGCTGCTGGAGCTGGAGCTGCTGGATTTGGGCTGTGCTCATTTCACAAACATTCTCTGCTGCAGTGATGCTTTGTTACGTTTCTGTTTTGCATAAAATGTAGAATTCTGAAAACTGCCTAAACATGTGGCAACACATGACGCTCGATGTGTTTCTCAATGATTCCTTTATTCTTATTCTTTTCATGTATTCATTCATAACACACATAAACAGTCTGTACAAACAAACTGAAGCTCAGTGAAAACTCTGAGTCCTTTGTCCTTCTGACAACAGGAGAGTCCTTCATCATTTAACTCTATAAATGTAGTATTTGAGGCTGATTGTTACTTTTTAAAGAATAGTTTTTCTGCTGCTTACACAAGTAAACTGTGTGTGAAGCTGGAGGATGGAGTAAATATGGCCTGGAGCCAGAGGCAGGTGGTTTATCAGAAAAGCTGCCAATGAAAAGTTTCAGGTCAGTGTGTAGGAAAAAAACAACTGACTTGAGCTAAGTTTGTTGCAACAAACTGTGAGTGTGTGTGAGTGTGTGAGCTGCCCACACACACACACACTGTGAGTGTGTTGCAACAAACTGTGAGTGTGTGTGAGTGTGTGAGCTGCCCACACACACACACACTGTGAGTGTGTGGGCGGCTCTGGATCCCGGCCAGAAGGCCACGCTGCGCCTCTGCAACGGGAGACAACAGATCATCTCCTGCATCTGATTCTAAAATACTAAAGTAAAATACTAGTTATAAAGACCAGGAGCTCTTTGGGTTTGTTTGAATGAACTGGGCTCTGAGGTTATTTGCTTTAAGCCTCTGAGTTAGTTCATTTAATCATTAAATGTAAATGTGACCTAACGATGATCGTTAGGACAGTATCATGTGTTTGTGTCTGACATTAAAGCACTCTGCTTTTCCCAGCAGCACAGTTTGACCCTGTAAAGGTTTAGCCTGAGACTCTCCGCTGTGAAAATGATGTTCCAAAATAAAGGATGAGTCTGGAGCCTGCTGACAATCACGGTGGCGAGCCCTTTGGCGGCGTGGAGCTGGGAGCGGGACGTGCGGCGTCCTGGGACCCGGCAGTGATGTATTGCTTCGTCGTCAGAGAATGTGTTCATTTGTTACAGACACTGGCAGCGTCAGGGGGCTCCGCAGGCTCTGACCTTCAGTGGCTCTTTCACTCAACCAACTCTGCCTGAATATTTATGTATTTGTGCTGATGCCAGTCAACTGTTCAGGAGGCGAGTGCTGAGCAGGAACGATGAGAGGTCATTGGTTAAAAACTAGAAACATAGACATTGGTCCTGAACAGCAGTGGTCCACAACAAACATGTCTGAGTCTAAACAAGCTTATATGTAAAAAAACAACCTTACTGTACATCTCGGTCATGGTACGGTAGCACTCAAACATAAACAAATGTCCCTTTATCACAGGTGGATTCTAGAGAGGCTCCGCTGAGGCTTCTAATGGAACTTTAACAAGAGACAAGAGCGGGAACGGAGAGAAGCTAGAACCATGAAGACCAGAGGAGCCAGGACCAACACGGGGCCTGTTCCACAAGAGCCACCTCTCTCTCTTCTCGCTGTAAAGAAGCCACTGTGAAGGATGTTCTACCCTGAGTTATTCACATAGAAACATATTGAGGACATGTCATACCTAGCCTAGCCTTAGCCGTCTGTAAACTCCGGTCAAGGATCATTTCCCTGCATGTTCCGTCTGGGTCTGGTCCCTGCAAAGATGTTGTGGCTCTACTCCCCACGGGCTCCGTTAGTGGCAAAGGAGATGCTAAAGCTAGGCTAAATGCTAAAGCTAGGCTAAATGCCTCACTCACTCGGGCTCATTACATACGTCACAGTAAACTCAGATCCAATGGTTTCAATCTGTAAAAGGAGTTAGCCCCTCCCACCTGTTAACGGAGTCAATGGAGACAATCCAGGCCTTAGTATGAAATGAAATGAGTACCGTGGTACAATAAGACCAGGCTCTATCATACCTGGTCTCATCATAAGCATCTTACAAACACAAATTTAAACCAAGTGTCCACAGTAATAATCTTGGCAGTGGAGAGTTTCCATTTTGTGATCTCACTGCAACGACAAATACACTTTTAATTAATTAATTTTATACAAATGTATCTAATATTATTATTCCCAATCAGCCAGTGTTAGTCAGAGTCAGTGTCTGTCAGAGGCTGCAGAAGCTCAGTCTGGGTCAGACTTTATAAAGATGACATTCTCTGTGACTCATGCTCGTAATGTCTGTAATTACACTTTTCCTTTTAATGATATGGATGTTCTGATTCTGAAAGAGTATGACATTAAAAACACAAAACCATAAACACATCATTGAACAAAACTGACTTGAATAAAGTAAAAGTTTTGGTGGAAAAGGTTACATTAAAAACATCCAAGTCTGAGCACAAGAGAATAGTTTGATTTTCTCCAGTTTCTCCTCGATACTTCCTCGAGTCAAAAAGGACTAATAACTTTAGGAAGGTCATAGGTTTGATTCCCAGTTCATAAAGCTCTTGGTAAGGCACGTTAATTTAAACCAGGGGTGTCCAGACTTTATAGCACGAGGGCCGTTGTAGTTTTCCAGACCCTGACTGTAAAACTGTTTGAGGCTTTAAAAACAGCCACATTGGCCCCGATATGGGATACTGCGACATCACAAACAAAAGTCAGTAAATACAAAGACTTGATTCCAAAGGTTCTCAGCTTTACAACACAGCAGGACTACACTGGTGGAGCTTAAGTTGGCTGGATCACACTGTCAAGGCGCCTCGATGATTACTTGGTGTTGGTGAGGCAGAGGGCCGGATACAATCACCCAGCGGGCCACATTTGGCCCTCGGGCCTTAGTTTGGACATGCCTGATTTAAGCAGTTCATGCACAAGTTAAGTCAAAGTGCTGAATACAACTTTTGCATGTTCTCCCCATGCCTATAAGTTTCTGCTTTCCCCTCAATTAAAAAACATGATTAGCTCAGTGCAACATTAGCTTGAAGCTTCCTCAAGGCTACGATCCTGAGAGATTAGCGGGTTAGCATTAGCACTGTCCCAACCAATCAAACATCTGTAGTTTGTTTAAGATGTATAAAAATGATGTATGTGGACATGTGGACCAATACCATGTAGACTCTCCCAATGGTCCAATACCATGTGGTCTCTCTATGGACCAACACCATATGGTCTCTCCCTATGGTCCAATACCATGTGGTCTCTCCCTATGGTCCAATACCATGTGGTCTTTCTCTATGGTCCAATACCATGTGGTCTCTCCCTATGGTCCAATACCATGTGGTCTCTCCCTATGGCCCAATACCATGTGGTCTCTCTCTATGGTCCAATACCATGTGGTCTCTCCCTATGGTCCAATACCATGTGGTCTCTCCCTATGGTCCAATACCATGTGGTCTCTCTATGGACCAACACCATATGGTCTCTCCCTATGGTCCAATACCATGTGGTCTTTCTCTATGGTCCAATACCATGTGGTCTCTCCCTATGGTCCAATACCATGTGGTCTTTCTCTATGGTCCAATACCATGTGGTCTCTCCCTATGGTCCAATACCATGTGGTCTCTCCCTATGGTCCAATACCATGAACGGCCCACGTTCTGTAGCTAGCTTAGGTCCTGGATCATTAGTCTGTCCGTCCGGAGGAGCGGATCCCTTTCTCATATGGGTCTCCCTCCCTGTGGGTTTCCCTAGTTCTCCTCCAAGGTTTCTCACTTTTTCCCACTGTGTTTTTTAAGAGTTTTTCCTTGTGGATGCAGGAGGGTCTTGTTGGACAGTTAGTGTCCAACAGAAAGGATTGGTGATGATCAGGACACTTTAGCATTCTACAACATGTATGGACATTTTCTTCTGTGTGTGCTTTATATTCTTCATGTGTTTTAACTGTTGATTCTCTGACCTGTGTTGGTGATTTCAATGGTTTTGTTAAGTCTCTGAGATGACTTCTGTTGTGACCTAGGGCTATACAAGAATACATTGTATTGTATTGTATTGTAATTGTATTGTCTCTCCCTATGGCCCAATACCATGTGGTCTCTCCCTATGGCCCAATACCATGTGGTCTCTCTCTATGGTCCAATACCATGTGGTCTCTCCCTATGGTCCAATACCATGTGGTCTCTCCCTATGGTCCAATACCATGTGGTCTCTCCCTATGGTCCAATACCATGTGGTCTCTCCCTATGGCCCAATACCATGTGGTCTCTCTCTATGGTCCAATACCATGTGGTCTCTCCCTATGGTCCAATACCATGTGGTCTCTCCCTATGGTCCAATACCATGTGGTCTCTCCCTATGGTCCAATACCATGTGGTCTTTCTCTATGGTCCAATACCATGTGGTCTCTCCCTATGGTCGAATACCATGTGGTCTTTCCCTATGGTCCAATACCATGTGGTCTCTCCCTATGGTCCAATACCATGTGGTCTTTCTCTATGGTCCAATACCATGTGGTCTCTCCCTATGGTCCAATACCATGTGGTCTCTCTCTATGGTCCAATACCATGTGGTCTCTCCCTATTGTCCAATACCATGTGGTCTCTCTCTGTGGACCAACACCATGTGGTCTCTCTCTATGGTCCAATACCATGTGGTCTCTCCGTATGGTCCAATACCATGTGGTCTCTCTATGGACCAACACCATATGGTCTCTCCCTATGGTCCAATACCATGTGGTCTCTCCCTATGGTCCAATACCATGTGGTCTTTCTCTATGGTCCAATACCATGTGGTCTCTCCCTATGGTCCAATACCATGTGGTCTCTCCCTATGGCCCAATACCATGTGGTCTCTCTCTATGGTCCAATACCATGTGGTCTCTCCCTATGGTCCAATACCATGTGGTCTCTCCCTATGGTCCAATACCATGTGGTCTCTCCCTATGGTCCAATACCATGTGGTCTTTCTCTATGGTCCAATACCATGTGGTCTTTCTCTATGGTCCAATACCATGTGGTCTCTCCCTATTGTCCAATACCATGTGGTCTCTCTCTGTGGACCAACACCATGTGGTCTCTCTCTATGGTCCAATACCATGTGGTCTCTCCCTATGGTCCAATACCATGTGGTCTCTCCCTATTGTCCAATACCATG